TGAGGGTTCTGGAGGGGAGGGGGGTGGTGGGATGGGTTAACCTGGTGATGGGTATTAAAGAGGGCATGTACTTAATGGAGCACTGGGTGTTAAAGGCAAACAATGAATCATGGAACACTACATCAAAAACTAATGATGTAATGTATGGTGATTAACATAACATAATAATAAAAAAAAAGAATGAAGGGATTAAGGTCTAAATCCACCTTCCCTACAATCTCTGGAAACCATTCCCTCTACAGGGTCTCTGACATTCACCCTTTGATCTGCCTCAAGCCCCCGGGGATAGATTCTCTTTGTTTCTGAGAAAGCTTGTCCAGTGCAGGACAGCTCCAAATGTCAGATAGGTCTTCTTCCTACTGAGCCTTAAACTGCCTCCCTCTTCATTTCTCATAAAAGTACTTAATCCACCTTCCAAAGATGCACATCAGCCATGGGACATGGTGGTTAACTGAGTGTATCTGAAGTCAGTCAGGACAGTTTAAATCCTTAGGATACTCCTTAGCTTTGCATGCTCTTCAGGCAGTTCTAAAACTTGTCGTCTCAATTCTTTATTACCAAGACAAAGTTAACAGGTAGAAACACACTACATGGTGACTGTGAGGATGAAATGATGAAATGCATTTAAAATATTTAGAAAGACACATAAAATGTATTATTCTGCCTGAATGCCAGCAATTCATTCATAGAAGTTATTCTGTCCTTCCCATGACTAACTTCAGATAGTTGATGAGCACGTCACCAGATGAGATTTCCTTTGAATGACTTGACGGCGTCATTGCTTCTGAATCTCTTCCAGTCTAAACATGTATAATTTCCTGACCTCTAACCAATGAGCTTTCGGAGCACAGATCAGCCTGCTCCTCCCCTAGGATCCTTCTATCTGTCAGGCTCACTTTAAAATTTCTCACCCATTGTGTGATGAACTGACTCAGAAATATTCTGAACAGCAGCATGGACAAAATCTTCTTCACATTTGAAGAGTCAGCTACTGTAAGATTCCATTACTTTTTTTTTTATCATCCTGCCATCTTCTTGGATCATAAGGGTGCTATGTTCTCTTTGAAACCAATCCTTGATTTTCTCCACACTCAGTGCAGAATCTAAGGCCCAAAGACTTACCTGGCATCATCTGTGGTAACATATGTAGAAGACACAGAGTGAAAATCTTTTGGTGTTTCAGATAGTGAGGATGGCTGTTTTGTACTATAGGAGCCGCCTGGGGGATTTTTTGCACCAGTCACTGATGAGCTTTAAATTAGCCTGGGACAAGGGGGAAAAGCAGGCAAAATGATTCAAAACCTAGGAGAATATGCCTCGTAGCAGATCTACATCTAATAAAAACTCTCAAATCCTGTGTCCCTGGGGCCTGGGAGCCAAACTGACTGACCTTTCAGAAATTTCTAAGAGAAAACGGTGCCCCAAGACAACACAAAGAGTCAATGACACTTTTATACAAAATAATGTGCCAATGAAGGTAAATGAAAACATCTCAAGGCATTCAGACTTATCAGTATGGACATGCTGACAGAGAAATAAATGGAATATTTCTATGTAATATAGAAATTGTCCCAGTCATGTTCATAATTCTGGTGTTGTAATAATGTGCATTTTCAAAATCTTAGTGCCAGTCAGAATATCTATTTCAGTTTTCCAACCATGAACGATTATTCACGCCTGACATTTACTTAGGTGAAAAAAGGGCTTTATCTTTTTTTTAAATTTTTTTATTGTTATGTTAATCACCTACATTACATCATTAGTTTTAGATGTAGTGTTCCATGATTCATTGTTTGTGCATAACACCCAGTGCTCCATGTAGAACGTGCCCTCTTTAA